GACCCCGTCCCCTCCTCCCAGCACCGCCAGAAAGAGAAAATGGCGCTCGATTTGCCTCCGGAAGTGACGCGCGCCCTCATTTGCATGCCAGTACAGCCAGCCAATGGGGGGAGAGTGTGCATGGGACCCCCTGGGCACTGCCCCACAGGACCCTTGGGGCCCCTGCCTGAAGCTGGACTGGAGGCTCTGGAGTGGGGGTAGGGGTCCCCTATTGGGGCCCCCGCCCCTAACCCCCTTCCTACCACAGTGGGCTGGCCTGCCAGCCTCTTACTAGCATCTCTGCAAACTCTCGAGAGAGTTTGAGTAGGTGATGACGTCATTGAAGGGGGTGGGGCAAAGGTATCATCAACCACGTGACCAATCACGTGGGCTCGCCAGAGCTTGACTTCATTTGCATGGAATGGGGGTGGAGCTAGTGGTACTAGCAGGAATGGGTGGCCCCGCCCACATCTCAGAGCCAATAGGAAGCCAGCTGTGAGGAGAATCCTGCGCTGCCATTGGAGAACACAACTTGAGCTATTAGAAGTTTGACAAGTGTGCCCTTGAAAGTGACACATCTTGGGGGAACTGGCTGGATGGGGGCTCCTGACCTCACAATTCTTTTCTGAGAAAATTGTCACACTTTTTCTTGAGAATTCTAATTTTTTAGTTAGAGCTACTATCTGTTGTGTAGGGAAGAGGTTAATTGCATACATTTGTAAAAACTATTAACTGGCCTAAAAGTTCACTTTTGCCCAGATTTTAATTGTGAAGCAATACTATTATATTTCTCAAAATAAGTAAATACATGGAGCAGGAGCTTTCAAAATAGCTTTGGGTCTTCATCCATCGAGTCCGACTTGCGGGGGGGGGGGGGCGGCGCGGGGAAGATAAGGACCACACCGCCCTCAGGGATCTTGCACTTTAATGAGTGGCCAGGTGTGCATGCCAAACCTCCTTTTTCTTACCCGGTCCTTGTCCTATTCCTGCTCCTTAATGACCATTCCCTCCTCGTTGACCTTCTCTGGGCAACGCACCTCCTCAACTTCATTTTCAGCAGAAGACCACGTCTCCTTCTGGAACACCAAGACCATCGAACTTGGTCTTCCTCAACCTCCCAGCCACGCCATGCACACCTGTTTCCTCAACAACCACCCTGACCTTAGAGCTAGTTTCAGATGATGTGTCTGCCCATGTTCCCCCCAGTCTGTCTTTCCTTGGACCTGTTGGCCCTGCCCAGCACCTCATGTTCAGTCATCCCTCTCCCATAATTTCAGCTTCTCCCTCTTTACTGGGACCTTCTGCTCAGTACAGCCCAGTGACCAAAAACAGAACAGGTACTAAATAACTGTCTGAACTAATTTAAAAATGTGTTAAATTCTGGACTGATACTACATGACCACAGTTTGCTTTTTTCCCTACAGGAACACAAGTGAATGAGAGTTTGATCTTTATTTATGAATTAGATTTAATGTGATAATGAATCACAGTGCTAAATGGGTATGATATCCCTATACATCTTCCTTGAAATCATGGATGTGATTAAAAGTAAAGTTAAAGCCTTCTAGTCCCCCTTGATCCAGATCAAGGTGCTCTAAAGAGAACATTTGGTCACATTTCTCCCAACATTGCCTGGACTCCCTAGACTCTACATCCTCATGCTCTCTCGCCACAACCTTCACCAGTCTGCAGAAACTCCTGGGTCACCAGTGACCTCATAATTGTTGGACCCAAGAACAGATGAGAGTCCTCCTTCTTCATTTGTAATCCTTCTCCCTTTCCTGAAGCCCTTCTCTCCCTGACAACTCCCAGATGTGCCCTTTCATCTCCAAGCTCTCTGACTATTCCTTACATCTTCATCAGCTTCCCTCCCTCAGCCCATCCTTGAATGTGGATCTCCAGGATTATGGCCACTTTCATTCATTTTTCAGCACATACTCATCACCCACATCCTATGTGCCAGGCACTGTACTAGGTACTGGAAATCGCATCCTTCTCATTTTATTACTCTGCATACTCTCCCTTTTTAATATCAATTGCACATTCAAATTTCATTATTTCAATTCTAAATCAATATATGTTATCTCTTTCCTAAGCTTCATTTTTATTTTTCTGGCTGCCAATTGGGCAGCCCCACTTGGGCCTCCCACAGGCACCTCATATTTAAAATGTTCCAAATAGCCCATCATCCCTCTTTGTAATTACAGTAAACGGTGTGCTTAACTGTCCTGCATTTTCCCATCTCCAGTTTTCCAATTTTACAACCTAAACATTCCTCAAATCTATTGTCTCACCAGCACCTTGGAATTCAGGTCACCTCCTGTCCTCCCCACAACCTGAACTAATTTTCACTCCATTGCCATTCAAGGCTGAGTTCTGCTGCCCTCTCTTCCAGGAAGATCTCCCTGACCACTACCACTCCACGCAGAAATATCTCGAAATGTGGAAGGCACTTCTCCTTGGTATTCCAGAATATTCTGTGTGTCTGTCACTGCACTCATTGGGTTGTTTCATCACCATCTGCTAATGTTTTTGTCTCTCAGGAAGGGCTGTGCCAACAGGAACCATGTCTTCTTCTTCACCATTGTATCCCTGATTCCTATGTTACTTTAAGAAATATAATATAAATAAATATTTTAATAAATATAAGACAACTTTAATAAAGCTGAATAAAAGTTTTCTCCCATCTTATTATGAAAAATTTTAAACATATTGAAAAGTTTAAATAATTATACAGTGAACACCATCACCGAGATCTTAAAATTAACATTTTGCTCTATTTGCTTTATCATCCAGCTATCCAATTATGCATCTCTTGATCCATCCTTTTTTTTTTTTTGATGCATTCAAAGAAAATTGATGACATCAGTCCACTACATCCCTAAATACTTCAGCATGGATATATAATGGATGGTGTTTCAAACTACAATCAACAGTTTTGATGTTGAAAGGACTGTCCCTCCCCACCACAAAAGGAATGAGCAATATGACCAAGTGGGACGTGTCAAGATTATTTTCAAAGACTCAGGAAAGTGAATGGCGGAGATGTCAGCAAATCATGTCACAGCATACATGAGTTTGTTCTGCTTTTCCTTAACCAACTTGGTGTCAGTACAAGTACAGATGCTTTGATTTTAGTTGTTCAGTTGGGTTTAAAAGTGAAGGTGCTATGCTGAATCCTTCCTACTCTCTCATCTAGTTCACCCCATAATCAGAATCAGCATCTGTAATATAATTGTCCAGCACAAAGAGAGCAATCCGGGTGACCACAGAACAGAGGAAAATCTCAAACTAGCCCCAGAGCCTGAGACGTCAGCCCACAGGCACCTTTGCACAAATTTAAAAGCGGAGAAGCCCTTTGTTCTTGTGTGCCCAGTGGGCGCTGACTTGGAGATAGAAGTGCCATTATAAAGTGCCTTTATATGTAAAGAAAGCGGGGGGGAAGCATCCTATCCTCTGAGACACAGACCTGGGTGAATAGAGTGGTCTTGATTTCAGCTCCCACCCCACTCCCACCTAGGCTTGTCTCCATGTGGAGTATGCACAGTATACAGCTATTTTGGCAGCCCTGGTTGATCTATAAACAAACTGTACATGTGCTCATCTACAATAAAATAAATTGCTAAGGTTAATCTAAAACCACTGAAATTTCTACAGAAAAGAGGGATAGTTATTCTTTGTGAACAACTTACATCTAATCATGCCTTTCTTGCCTTTGTTCTGTATATACTTTTTGTGTGTCTACTGGGTGCCAAGGAGACAGTGATGAGCAGAAAGCAAAAGCTTAGGATCCAGTGGAGGAGAGCATCATTACATGAAATAGCTACACAATGAGAGTTTAATTATAAACTGAGGTAAACACTCCTGAAGAAGGTATGCTCTCCAAGTGTCTGTGATGCAGAAACCTGATCTAGAGTAGCAGTCTTAAGGAAGCAACAACCTGAGGTCAGAAGGACAAGAAAACAGTGGATCAAAGCAGTGAGACGCAGTAAGGGGAGATGACTCCAGCAGCAGGAACAGCACCTGCAAAGGCCCTGTGCCTGGAGGGAGCATGGCCTAGGCAGATGGCAGATTGTGAGAACAAAAACACTCCAAGAGTAGGTGAGGGACCAGATCATGAAGCCACTGGGTCTTCCTAAGATCAATGAGAAGCCAATGAAGTGTTTTCACTGGGTGGGTTGATAGAATTAGATTTGTATCTGAAAAGTAGCTGACTATAGCAGAGAGGAAAGAATAGAGATGGGAGAAGGGTAGATGTAGGAACAAGAGTTAGGAGCTTGTTGGAGTGGAAGGTGGCAGATGATGGTAGTTTGGAGCTGAGATTAGGGTAGGAGCTCTGAAGA